ACCATCTCAGGAGAAAGTCCGCGACTGCTTGTGTTGGGCGGGGTGATGTGTTGTTAGGGGCTTTTATAAAATGGATCCCGCGAACGTCCACGGCGGGAAAGCCATCAAGAAAAGCTTGGTTCATACTTCTGGATTAAAGGATTTAGGCTAACCCGACACCCTAAACCTTAAACCCTAAACCCTAAACCCTAAACCCTAAACCCTAAACCCTAAACCCTAAACCCTAGGGTGTAGGGCTATATCCCAGCAACCCCTAGCCCCAACCTAAACCCGCAGAGGCCCTCCTGAGATGGTATATGAAGTCATGCTTCTTACTGGGTTTAGGGTTTAGGGTTTAGGGTTTAGGGTTTAGGGTTTAGGGGTTAGGGTTTAGGGTTTAGGGTTCCCATTACATGCACTTGACCAATCTTGACAATGATGAGGAGCCCTCAGTTCCCTGGCTACCAACAGTAATACGAAACCCGAAGCCCGAAGCCCTAAACCCTAACCCTAAACCTAAACCCTAAACCCTAAACCCTAAACCCTAAACCCTAAAACCCTAAACCCTAAACCCTAAACCCTGTTTCATTTGGCCCCGAAAAAACGCCTCGGACGCCCGGAGCTCGGCCAGTAGCGCCCGGAGGTCCCGGGGTGCAGCCTTCGATTTGGAGTCTAGGGTTTAAGGGTTTAGGGTTTTGGGTTTAGGGTTTAGGAATTAGGGTTTATGGATTAGGGTTTAGGGTTCAGGGTTTCGGGTTGAGGCTTTTACAGGGTTTATAAGACCCAAGAGTAGCCTAGGAATGCCCTTTTTGGCGTTGAGGGGCTTCTCAGGGAACCTAAACCCTAAATCCTAAACCCTAAACCCTAAACCCTAAACCCTAAATCCTAAACCCTAAATCCTAAACCCTAAACCCTAAACCCTAAACCCTAAACCCTAAGAAGGGAATTCGGGCCAAGCCGCAGAAGCTGAACCACTGACTACAAGCATGCCTATATGGTCCAAGCCCGACGCCAGGGCCCTCTTAGGCCCAAACGCCCCTGGACCGTAAAGCCTGGACCCCAAACCCTAAACCCTAAACCCTAAACCCTAAACCCTAAACCCTAAACCCTAAACCCTAAACCCTAAACCCTAAACCCTAAACCTGGAGAACCCTGAACCCTAACCCCCAACCCTAAACCCGACGCTCAAGCTTCCCCTAAGACACCATAAAGGCACCCAAAAACCTCGCAATGCAGTCACGGAGACATCTTCAGCAGACCGAGGCAGCATCATTCTGCCATGCTTTGGGCAGGTCGAAGCATTGTTTTTTTTGGTCACTCGTGCTCAGGAGCTTAGAGTTTGAACGGTTGGGTAGTCGAAAGAACTCAGAGGTGTTGTGGAGGAGCCCAAACGACTCTACAGCAGCAGGGCCTTTGGGTTTGGGACTGTTGCGGAAACGCCCAGCGCAGCTATCGCAGCTTGACCAGGTGATGTGACAGCTAAGGCAGGCGAGCATCATCCGAGCCTCTGTGAACCCTGGCCTGCAGCCAAGAAAGCTCTGGGAGCGTTTGACCCAAGAAAAACGGGTGCCCCTGGTTTAAAGGGGTTTATCAGGGAACCTAAACCCAAAACAAAGGGAATAAGGGCCTACTCTGGGCCCTAGTGTTCGTGACTTGGTGAAACCTGCATTACATACAACTGCTGCGGGATGCATGTGTCCTTCGCGGCCTGCGCACTCACAGGCAGAACTAAACCTGAAGTACATTTCGTCGCCAGCTACGGACCCAACTGCAGGAAAGACCATAAGCCCTCCGTAAACCCTGAACCATAAATCCGCTCCAGTCACCATGTTTTTGTCTGCATCGGGCGCGTGGTAGACTTCTCTTCACAGCCGACTACACCGACACCTCGCGACAAGCCGCCAACCCGCCACCCCCCAAACTAACCTCAGCCCTAGGGTTGAGGGTTAAAAGGGGTTGGGGGTTTGGGGTTTAGGGAGGCCACATAGCCTAAACTCCATACAACCCGAAACCCTAGCCATCACCGCACCCCTGACGCCCTTGGGTTGGGGGTGGGGTTGGCGGGCCTCCCAAGGCTCGGTGAATGAACGGAAGTCGCGTCAAGTCTGTCCAAGTACTCGCGTTGATAGGGTTTAGGGCTTCGGGTCTGTAGGTTTTCGGGCTGACAAGGCAGGTTTAGAATACAAGTGTGCCCTTCCTTCTGGTACTTTACATCGGAACCCACAAGGAATCGTAAACGCTAAGCCTGGGGGCAGGCTGGGCGCCCCTCCCCCGGTGCCTAGATCTCAGAGAAACTTGGGTGCCCTTGATTTGTTAAAAAGCGAGGGAGTAAACCTTAAACCTTAACAACCCCAAACCCTAAAGGCGAGGGGTATCTGCGCTCAAGGGCGCCAGGTGCTCTGTGCTTGAGATTTCTTCGATGTACGGGGTTGTCCAGGCTTCAGGGTTTAGGGTTTAGGGTTTAGGATTCACAGGGCCCCTTTTGCAGACCTTGTCTTAGCAGGAGCTCTACTGGGAAGGTGTCTGAAAGGAAGGCAAAGTAATTTGGAACCACAGCCGAATGTTTACTACATAGGGTTCTCGATTGCTAAGTGTCGTGGCTCTTGACTGACTTCCATCCAAGTCGGATATGTTCAGACACGGGCCCGCAAGACCCCCATCTATCAAGGGAAACTGCAGCCATGCTTACGAGTTCACTCTGCCAGCCCTAAACCCTAAACCCTGAACCCTGAACCCTATAAACCCTAAACCACCAGTCTCTACGAACGACCAGCAGCGGTTCTCCCTTGACCTTGACTTCGCAGAGATGCGCGAGGTGGTCGGAGGCTTTGGGTTCAGGGTTTTGGGTTTTGGGTTCAGGGTTTAGGGCTTGGGCTTGTTCAAAACCTTGAGCCTTTCATCCGGTGAAGGCAGAATGTTCGTGGTATTCACTGCATTGACCACATTGTCACAACTTCGGCCATGTGTCCCCTCCGAGAGGACTTAAGCCGAACACCGAAAACCGAAAGGACCAGCCTAAGCTTAACAACCGGACAGCAAGAGTTATGCTGCGTGAGCCTAAGAACACTACGGCCTTGCCTCTCCAAGTGCGTTGCCGCATCTTGGAGAAAGCAGCTGTGTCCTTTTGACACTTTTGCCCGTCGTCTTCCTACTGGAGTAACCTATAACGAGAAGGGTGCCCTTTTGGTTTAAAGGGGGCTTCGAAGGGAACCTAGACCCTAAAAAACAAGGAGCCAGGGCCCGCTCCAGGTCCGAGTAGATGAGGGGGCAGAAATCAAAACCGAGGCTCGCTTGCATTTGTGTACACTGTCAAGCCATACAAGAATTGAGACCCCCCCAAAGTCATCCCTTCCTGTAGAACTCATGTCCATACTGAAGCCAACCATCGACGACTCTCACGTCGTTGCGAAGCCGTCTCATCCCCTACGCACCCAGTCTTTGGGTCGCCGAATTTGGCTCGTGCACTCAGAGGGCGGCTGAGGGGGCTACGTTAAGATCGATCGTGGCAGGTTGCCGGAGGCTCTTACTATAAGGGTGTTGTAACAACAGACCGCTTTTTTTGCCGTGAAGCCTAGACCCTAAACCCTTAACACCTGAACAAGAAACCTAAGCCCTTAAATACCCTAAACCCGTGAGGCGCTAAGCCCTACACAAGCGGGTACGGGGATCTGAAGGCTACTATTTGCTTAAGAACCCCACCCCCCCCCCCCCAAAAACCCAAAAAAAAAAAAAAAAAAAAAAACAAAAAAAAAAACAATCCCTACATTTCACTTATAAGGCCCAGGAGTAACCGAGGAAGCACCTTTTTTGGCTGTAAGGGGACTATAAGGGACCCTCAACCCTAAAAAAAGGAAAAAGGATGTAAGTGCCTACTTCGGGTCCTAGTTAAACAAATGGTAGAAGGTAGGGTTGCTTAGAAAGGCTCTGCAGTCGGGCTTCAAGTGAGGTTTTGTAAGGGCTGGTGGCTTTTGAGGGCGGTTTAGGGTTTAGGGTTTAGGGTTTAGGGATTAGGGATTAGGGTTTAGGGTTTAGGGTTTAGGGTTTAGGGTTTAGATTTTAGGGTTTAGGGTTTTGGGGGGGTTGCGGTTTTGGGGTTACGCATGTTCTCCAAGACTACAGGCCCTCCACTACCGCTCGGCGAAAGTCTCGCCGCTGGGCACCTGAGACGTACGCAGCGACGTTTTGCATATGGGTAGCTACTATTTGCTTAAGAACCCCAAAAGAATCAGAAAAGTTATAACAGTTGTTTAGTTTTTCGGGGTTCTTAAGCAATTAGTGTGTAGTTCTGTGAAGTAGGGTCCCGTTTTTGGGATCCCTTTTCAAAGGGTGCCGCCTTATAATGGGTACCCGCAACGGGACCCTAGTTTGCAAAACTACCCATAGTCTTGCGGTTTAGGGATCTGTTTGTGAACATAGAGCATCACTATGCAAAACGCAAAGCATGTGCACGTGAATGAAGATGACAAAAGATGCAGGTTGGTAGAACTAATCCCTTCCCCCTAATATAAATACACCCCTAATATTAAAAACCCTCTGGCCCCAAAACCCGGTCCGGCAGTCGCCCCTTTTGATATCTCTACAGAACTAGGGGGCGGGGAAGCCTGAAACTTATCAGGCCCAAAGCTTGAAACCTGCTCAATTGCTGAGCCAGCAAGCTAGAAGGACAGGTTGTTTTGTCCGGACAAACGAAAAGAACCCCCCCCTAATAGTAAAAACGCTTTGGGGGTTTTGGGTGGTTTTTATATCGCGGGGGGGAGGGGGGGGGGCCTTTTACATTAGGGGGAAGGGACTAAAGCAAACGCGAATTGCATGACATAGTATAGATTCACCACGTCCAGGATGGGTTTCTCTATAGAAGGCTGAATACCTGAAGTGTCACCTGTAGTGGACATCCCACACAAAGTCCTGCACCCAGATGGGTTAGGTAGAGCCCGAAACGCTTTAGTTTCAATACTCGAAACCCTAACCCCTAAGCACTCAACCCTCCCAAATCCTCAAATCCTGACACCTCCCTTGCCAGCCTCCGTCCCATCCCCTTCAGCTAGATTGCCTCAGCGACGTCAGCAGGCCACGTTGCGGTTCTTGACGCCAACATGTCTTACTAAACTTGCAAGGGGGATTACGTAGACTAGGGGGCCCCAATCTAGATCCTCAAATAGTAAGATTCACTTATAACAAGGACCCAATAAGGTACCCTAAACCCTAAAGCCTAAACCCTAAAACCTAAACCCTAAACCCTTTCGTAAACCCCCACATCTCAGTTGCCGCGCAGGAATGAGGGCCCTTGAGATTGATTCGCGGCTCAGGGGTCCTCATGGAGAAGGGTTCTGCACCCAAAGAGCTCAACACCCCTGAATTACGGAATAGACCTTGAAGTATATAAGGATCCTTGATACGGTTTGAGGTATATTCCTTAATATATGGTTTGAGGTATGGAATAGACCTTCTCAAGTATATAAGGATCCTTAATATGGTTTGAGGTATGTTCCTTATTTAAGGGGTAATGGGCTCTTTGGGCACTGACTGAATCTTGTGTAGGAATTGGCTCTGTGGAATATGTAGAGCCTTCTCTTGTGCAACGACTGCCGTCTTACGGTTGCAACTGGATACTATGTGTTAGACATGTCTAAAAAATAGTATCCAGTTGCAACAGTCAGAAGGTGAAGTATGCCCTTTTTGGCGCATGCTTTGCCTTTGGTAATTGGGAGATGTTGTCGGTAATCTCAGACTCGCAGTCGAGGATATAAAGGCTTCCTGTAAGGTTTAGGGTTTAGGGTTGAGGGGGCCCTACACCCAACTTCTCCACCACAGCCTCTGTGCATCTGCGAAGCCCACAGCCCAAAGGTAATCGACGAAAGCCTTCCAAGCACCCCTCCAACAAGCTCCCCCAGCAACCTTGGAATCAAACAGGAGCCCTTTCTGCATAATGAAGCTTCCCTAAACCCTAAACCCTAAACCCTAAACCCTAAACCCTAAACCCTAAACCCTAAACCCTAAACCCTAAACCCTAACCCTAAACCCTAAACCCTAAACCCTAAAGCCTAAACCTGCTTCATAACGGAGAGTAATCATATGATCCACTGTGGATCCTAAATCAACCTGGGATGGCCCTTAAAGCCGCGCTTTGAACTCTTAAGCCCAAATAAGGGTTTTCATGTAAACTATCTTCAAGGGCCTACCTAGTATCCCTAAACTCAACTCCCCCAAAGCCGGCGCTCAACCGGGGCTCACATCCCTAAACCCTAAACCCTGAACCTCAAACCCCAAACCCCAAACCCTAAACCCTAAACCCTGCCTTCCACCGGGGCTCCGGCCCAGCCGCCGGAGAGAGAGGCTCAGGATGCCACTGGTCTGCTTTACCTTGTCCTTGCGATTATAGGGGTTCTTAAGGGAGGGCGGGGGGGGGTTCAAGGAGGTTAGGGTTTAGGGTTTAGGGTTTAGGGTGTAGGGTTTAGGGTTTAGGGTGTAGGGTGTAGGGTTTAGGGCTTAGGGTGTTTTTTTTGAAGTGAGTCGGACTTTTGGTTTAGGGTTTAGGGTTTAGGGTTTCGGGTTTAGGGTTTAGGGCTGTCCTTGCGATGTTGCGCTTGGGCGTACCTCGTGCCTAGAGCCCGAAGCTATCTGTATATAAATATAAGTATTACATGGACATATACACATTAAAGAAAAACTGAACACAACACTGCACCAAAAGCAAAACGCTCTATGTCGTTTGCCTACGAAAACAGTAGGTTATAGGTTCTTAACGGTAAGCCCTGAGCCTGAAAACCCTAAGCCCGAAACCCGAAACCTTAACCCTGCAGCCTAAACCCTAAACACGAAACCCTAAACCCTCAACTCTGACGGCACGGCAAACCGCGCGTCGGGTCCTTGTAGACGCCCACAATCGAGTCGCTGTGTGAGAAAAATGTGTCCTGGCCAGGGCCGCTTCTGGGAGGGGGGTTTAGAGTTTAGGGTTTGCGTTTAGGGTTTAGGGTTTAGGGTTTAGGGTTTAGGGTTTAGGGTTTAGGGTTTAGGGTTTAGGGTTTAGGGTTTAGGATTTAGGGTTTAGGGTTTAGGGTTTAGGGTTTAGGGTTTGGGGTTTAGGGTTTAGGGTTTAGGGTTTAGGGTTTTGGATCCTACCCCCCCCCCCCCCCCCCCAAAAAAAAAAAAAAAAAACCCACAGAGTACGAAGGAAGTCGCCCTCCGTCCTATGTAGGGCATCCACTTCTTCTGAGCATGACGACAGCACACGCCCTAAATCCCCTCAAACCCTAAACCCTAAACCCTAAACCCTAAACCCTAAACCCTACACCCTAAACCCTAAACCCTAAACCCCGAGCCTCAATCCAGAAAGCCCTTGAACCACACTCCAAGTGACCCGAAGACCCGCTTAACCTCCTGTTTAGGGTTTAGGGTTTAGGGTAAACATGTGCAACAGGGTACGACTGGGCTACCAAGTGGATGCGACCGCAAAAGGCACCTAAGAGCGGATTCATTCTCAAGAACACCCCTCAACAAAGACTTCTGATCTCAGGTCTCAAGCCCTGATCTAAGGGCCTTAAGAGTTACTGTGGAATCGGGTTTTGGGGGTGATTCTAGTATACTTATGTAGGGACCACAAGGGAATACTATCAGCAACTATTCCGACCCCCATGTTGTTTAGGGCCCAGTGCGCAGACCCACTCCCACCTTGAGGGAGATGACCACGCACCTCGATTGTCAAAGGGCGGTTCTGAAAGACCCTCATGGCCCTCCCACACCCAACCAAAATCGTAAACCCTAAGCCCTATTGCAACTCAGCCCCGAACTCTGAATATTCTCTTCAGAATCTTGGCTTGACCTGCGGGTACAACCAATGCAGATTCCTGGACTGGTTCTTCAGAGTAGAAGCCGCCATCGCTAACACCCTAACCCCTACCTGAACAAACCAACCGCGCTTCCTAAGCCCTGAACCCTAAACTGCACCACTGTTGGGGTACTACTAAAATCGACCCTTTTTGTTCCTTATTGGGTTTAAGTATTCGTAAACATGTAAAATGAGTTTCATCAATGACCCAGTAAACCCTAAAGCCAGGATGCTGGAAGGAGAGCCGCTTGAGGTAGGCGACGAGGGAGCCGGTGTTCTTGCGGTCGAACCTCGCCAGCTGGATTATCGAACGTAGCCGATGAAGCCTAAACCCTGACGCCCTCACACCCGCAGCCGAAGGTCGAACATACTTCTACCTAATCCCTATAAACCGTGTAAGCCCTCTAAACCCTGTGAACCGCAAAAGCCCTGTAAACCCTACAAACCCTACAACACTTTTAACCCCAAAAAGCCCAAAAAGCCCTAAGCCCTCAACCTATACCCCATAACCGTATTTCCCCTACGTACACCTAGGAACCCCCGTACCTATTAGAAGAACCCACCCGTCTCAACTTAAGCCCTAAACCCTAAAAGCCCTTTACTTGGGGCGCGAAGGCTCCTGGATGTAGTTTAGGGTTTAGGGTTTAGGGTTTTAGGTTTGGGGTTGAGGATTTAGGGCTTTGGGGCTTAGCGGAGCAGGGTTTGGGGGTGCGGGGCTAAATTTAGGGTTTGAGCCGCTAGGATTGATAAGGGCTTTGGGGTTTAGGAGACTAGGATTTAGGGCTTGAGGGTTTCAGGGTTTAGGGCTTAGGCCTGAGGGAATCAGGCATAGGGTTTAGACGCTTGAGGCTTTAGGGGATTAGGGCTTTACCGTTCGGGCTATCTTTCGCAAGTTCGTACTCCCCGGCCCCCTGATATTTAAGAACCGTACAATGGTTTGTGTGCATTACAGACGAACATGTTTAAACCTAAAACCAAGCGTTTCCGCTAGACGAAACGCTCATATCAAGGTCAAGAAAACAATTTACATGCGATATGTGTGTATATATATATATGCATTTTTATTGAGGTATTATTTTGGGTGAGAGAAAGGTCGCATTGCAGGTGCTATGACGAAGGGCTTGGGCTTCTCGCATTGAGGCTTCAGGATTTCGCGACCCTCTGGAAAGCTTCGGGGGGTTTAGGGTTTAGGGTTTAGGGTTTAGGGTTTAGGGATTAGACTTTTGGTTCTCGGATTTGGGTTTGAGAGGAATGTATCCTGCAGCCTTTGAAAATTTGTGTCAGTGCTACCCGCATGTGTTGGTCCTGCCTCCCCTCCAGCCTCCCCCGCGCCTCGGGAGAGCTTTCGTAGATTCACAACAAAAAGTCTAGCCGAGTCTGGGGTTGAGGTTTAGGGTTTAAGGTTCCGAGTCTCGGGCGGGGCGTCGACCTCGTCCAGGATCATGAATGGAGGTGGCCGGAACCTTGCCGAGACAGGATAACTTGGGTTTAGGGTTTAGGGTTTGGGGTTTAGGGTTTCGGGTTTAGGATTTAGGGTTGGAGGGCCCAGCGTCTGTAATCCGAATGGCGGGACTTTGCTACCCTAGCACCCTAGATCAACACCCAATTCGCGAAATTCTTATTGCTTGCAGACCTAATCCTCTTCAGGTTGATGTCGCCCCAGGCATTGGAATGAAGCAGTACTTTGTAGTAAGTGCAAGCGGAGAACCTGGCTATTAGTTGGCCTGGCCTGGTAGCCCAGAAAGCAACGAATAGTACGGGCACCCTTTTTTGGGGCAAAGGGCACCTGAACCCTAAACCCTAAACCCTAAACCCTAAACCCTAAACCCACACTCGTGGATTTTCTTCGGCCAGGCATGGCTCCGGTTCTCAGGCGCACACGAGTGCAGGGCAAACAGGAGAGCCATGGAAGCCATCCTGTGCCAAAGAGTCTTAGGCGGTTTAGGGTTTAGGGTTTGGGGTTTCGGGTTTAGGGTTTGGGGTTTAGGGTTCAGGGTTTGGGGTTTCGGGTTTGGGGTTTAGGGCGCATTCCCTTCCTAGACCCTCGAACTCTCTGAATCCCGAAACCTATGCCCCGCCTTGCCTCTACTATTTTTTGCGTAAGAAAAATGTACCCCTCCTCATAAGGGCAATATAGGGAGAGCTAAACCTGGAACCCTGAACCCTAAAACCCTAAAACCCTAAAACCCTAAAACCCTAAAACCCTAAAACCCTAAAACCCTAAAACCCTAAAACCCTAAAACCCTAAAACCCTAAAACCCTAAAACCCTAAAACCCTAAAACCCTAAAGCCCTGAAATCATGAAACCCTGAAACCCTAAACCCTCTAAGCGCCCAACCCCCCAAACTCCGGGAGCCGGGCGAGCGCTCACCGCCGGACAGAAGCTCCATGGGGAAAAACCTGAGAGGAGCTCAAGGTGGTAAGGGCTTCGGGCTTGGGACTTAGGACAGCCTAAACCCTAAACCCTAAACCCTAAACCCTAAACCCTAAACCCTAAACCCTAAACCCTAAACCCTAAACCCTAAACCCTAAACCCTAAACCCTAAACCCTAAACCCTAAACCCTAAACCCTAAACCCTAAACCCTAAACCCAGCTCTAAGGGTTAGGGTTTCTAGGCAGCTCTAGGGTTTTGAGTCGAGGGCTCCACTTCGGGTTGCGGCCGGGGCTGATATAGCAGTTTCGGCGCGAGGGTGCATACGGTTTAGGGTTTAGGGCTTAGGGTTTAGGGTTTAGGGTTTGGGACGGGATTTAGGGCACCATGTGTAGAAAAATCTCTGCTTTGAAGCCTTAGGGCCGAAGAAAGCCAGAAACAATCGCATGCATTTGCCAAGCTCATGACCCCGCTCACCACCCAGAACTACATGCGCACTACATTATTCGAAGCGCCATCAGCTTCATAAAGCCGTGTCCCTGAAGATACTTTATACAACATGTACAACACTTGACGCGTGGATGACAAGAGGATCATATTGCCCGGGTGGGAGAATGTAATTCTTGACTTCAGAAACAGGGCGCGTGCGTGTCTCAGCGATACCAATCTCTCCTTAGCTGAACTTGGAACCCTAGCCAAAATTATAATTCTAGCTGTTTCTTAGAAATTTTCAGTACCCGAAAATGGAGAATTATTCCCAGGCATCCCGAAGTCTCTAGTAGCTTTGCAGTGGCGGGGAGGGTGGGGGCAAAAACACAAAACGATGCTCTTGCTTGGAGATCGGTCGAGGCTGCAATGCTTGAGTTCCACAAAAAACAGAAAGATATGAGGCCCGTCGCAAGCTCAACGATTTGCTTAGGAAACCCTAGAAAGTAAAGATAACAATCCCTGTAATGCCCTTCTATGGCAAAAAACGAGATGTCTTGGGCGCTTCTTCAGCAAATGGCAGAGGTTTCCTGCAGTCTAAGGGGGTACGGTGAGAAAGATGCGAGGAGGCTTGGAAGCCTCTGGCCCGAGGCCTACCAAAAAAAGAACAACCCTAAGCACTTAACCCTGAACTCCTAAACCCGATACCCCAGACCCGAACTCACCACCCCCGCCCTCCCCCAGGCGATCCTACTCTAGCGACTGGGGGTTTGCCTCAAGCCGAAACCCCTGAAATCCCCTCCGGGCGCCCGGCCGTTTGCCCGGCGGGCAGGCTGTGAAGGTAATGCCGCCGTTGTAGGGCTCCTGTGGTGGCTTTTAGGGTTCAGGGTTTAGGGTTTAGGGTCTTAGAGTTTAGGGCTTTTCGGGTTTAGGGTTTAGGGTCTTAGGATTTTAGGGCTTTTCGGGTTTAGGGTTTAGGGTTTTAGGATTTTAGGGTTTAGGCTTTTTATGCGGGTTTAGGGTTTAGGGTTTTAGGGTTTGGGGTTGAGGCTTTTTAGGCGGGTTAGAGTTTATAGGGTTTAGGGTTTAGGGGGTTTTGGGGGCGCAGGCTGGTGGCAGAAGTCATGATTTATAACCGCAAGCCCAAAACCCAAAACCCCCTAAACCCTATTCTCTAAACCCCATACGACCCTAAACCCTAAACCCTAAACCCTAAACTCTAATCCCCATATGCCGGGAGCGCCCAGGGCGCCACGAACACGGCGTTAGCGGTCCTTTGCATCGGTTGCTTCAAACAGCTTTTGCTGCGGTAAAGACCTTAAACCCTAAACCCTAAACCCTAAACCCTGAGTCTTCAGATTCAACATCCACTGGAACAAGGCTGTCGTCGGGGAGTGCCTGAGAGCTGCCCTTTCATGCGCAGCAGATCCTTCATCGAAGGCAGCCCTAAACCCTAAACCCTAAACCCTAAACCCTAAACCCTAAACCCTAAACCCTAAACCCTAAACCCTAAACCCTAAACCCTAAACCCTTGCTTCTGCTTGGCCTGGACCAGTCTGTCAGCGCATCTGAGTAGAAGCTCGTCAACGCCTGCAGCTTACACTTCTGCAGACCGTCGTTCTGTCCAGTGGCCTTTCGGCTGTTTAGGGTTTAGGGTTTAGGGGTGGAGTGTGGTCATGTCTGGGCAATCACACAAAAGAGATCCCGGATGGTGTCCATGGAGCTCAGCAAAGTTTGATGGGCACAAGCATGCCTTGCGCAAAATCGAGAAGTGACAGAAGTGACACAACTCATGGGAACGATGGGCTTCCTGGCGCCTGCACACAACCAGCAACGACAGGGATTGTCGGGTTTGGGGCTTAGGGGCAGTCCTCGGCATCGTCCAGATCAAGATAGGCCTGGGGAAGGATGCAGGAGACAAACCCACTGCAGGGAGTTACCTTGGTGGGAAACCCAAACCCCAAACCCTGAACACTAAGCCCAGACCACCAACCAGGAAAATACCAAGTAAGGAAACCTAAAGGTTGATGTTCAACGGATAGGAGTTTAGGCTTTAGGGCTTAGGGTTTCGGCTTTAGGGTTTAGGGTTTAAGGTTGGGTTCAGGGTTCAGAGTTTAGGCCTGTGCTTGGGACCACGCTCTAGGTGCCTGCTTACTTCTCCTATTGTCATAACCAAGGAACAAAAATGTTGAACCAACACATTCCGCAATATGTGCAGTTCTGGGGTTTAAGGTTTAGGGTTTGGGGTTTAGGGTTTCTAACAGTCCTTCATAGGGTTTATAATACCCCTATTGTAATCCCTAGTCAGGACTGTTAGTATAAGGGGAAACGTCCCTAGGTAGTTCTCCAAACGGTCCCCATTTTCGTGGTGGTTTATATAAGGTGCCATACTATATAGGGGCACAAAAAAAGTCTACTCGAGTATCCTAGGATATTGGCAGAGTACTCTTTTTGTGTATTTCGCGGGAATTAGAGAAAGCCTCATAAAAGGGAAGGCGGATACCACTAGGGTCCCAGAGTTTTAGGATTCAGGGTCTAGGGGTTAGGGCAGTATCTGCTGGGATTCGGATCGCGCCGTCGTGTGCGGATGCCATCAGCCCCGCGGTGGCTCGCTCGTTGGTTCCAGGGTTTATTGTCAGCAAGCCCTGGACATTAAAAAAAAGCCTTTGTAGGGTTTAGGGTTTAGGGTCTAGGGTTTAGGGGATAGGGTTTATAAGGTTTAGGGGTTAGGGAGATGATAGGAGCCCAGCTACTCCAACAGGCAACGCCTGTCTACATCAGCCCACAGTGCTCGAACACCCTAAACCCTAAACCCTAAACCCTAAACCCTAAACCTAAACCCTAAACCCTGAACCCGTTAAAGCCTCTGAGCTTGGAGCTGAACCACCCTCGAAGCCGTCGTAGGCTGTCAACTCCTTGTAGTAGGGGTTGATCTTTTCCTGCCGAGAAGTGAGAGCTTTCATGGGGATGTTCCCTCTTATACTAGCAGCCCTTAATAGGGATCACAATGGGGGGTACTATAATCCCGATTAGGGACTGTTAGTATACCGGGAACACCCCAAATCACAGCAAAACTTCCGTCGGGCGTGCGCAAAAAACAACGCGGTGCCCCTCTTTGCCCCCAGAAGCACGCACGGCGCCATGAAGCGAACATCAGCTCCACGTCCTATACCCTAAACCCTACAACTGGCCCTGCAACCCTCAAGCGCTTCATATATATATATATATACCCTAAACCCTAAACCCTAAACCCTAAACCCTGAAACGTCGCAGGCCTCGATGTGCTTGAAGCACTTCATGAACCGGGCAACGCGCTCAGCCTGCTGCGTGTGGGGCTTGGCTTCGGGTTTGCGGTAAGAACGAGGTACTTGGAGGTTCATGGATAGTGAGAAAGTAGGGTTACAGTAGGGCAACTATACTTGCAACCTTATACTTAAGGTACCCATGAAACCCTACTGATAGCTATCCATGAACCTCCAAGTAAACCGAGTTTCAGGTTAGGACCTATAGGGCTCATATCAACTCAGGGCTTTCGGTATAGGCCCTCACCCAGAAAACCCTCTACCACCATAGTATATGATTATACTAGTTTTTGATTATATCATGATATTAAGACAACGTTATCGATCATATTATATGACGACATGAATATGTTATACTACCTTCCTGAGCGCTGCAACTCTGGAGCCCTGGACCCTGAACTCCTTGAGCCTCGAACAGCCCCTCAAACTAGAGCCAAGAGAAACCTAGAAATAGAACGGGCGCCCTTTCTTTGGTTTGAAGGGGCTTATAATCAGGAAACCTAAACCCCCAAAAAGGGGAGCGGCGGCCTTCTCCGGGCCCTCGTAGAAACCCTAAACCCTAAACCCTAAGCCCTAAACCCTAAACCCTAAACCCTAAACCCTAAACAACTTACCGACTCACAAGCCTCTTCTTCTGTCCGCCGCCCCCTTCGCCCCATCGCTTCGGCCCTAAACCCCATGCACCCCCGAAAAAACAAAAACCGAGACCCCAAGTCCTAAACATCGGCTAAACTTTAAACTCGCAACCCTACCCCCCTGGCCCCTCGCTCGCAAAAAGTCATCAACAATAACACAAACCCTAAACCCTAAAACCTAAACCCTACACCCTAAACCCTCCAGCCTTCACCTCCTCGAACTCCCGGAGCAGGCGCTGGCTTTGGAGGCTCGCCTTGTCGGCCTCACGCCTGTGGGCGAAACTTGCTTCCCCTCTCTAGGGTTTAGGGTTTAGGGTTTGGGGTTTAGGGTTTCGGGTTTAGGGTTTATTATTCCTTGTAAGCTCAATAATTAGCGCAATAAATGGACTACTGTTTTTATGTTTTTTGGGGTTCTTAAGCACATGGTAGTTCTGTTCTAGGGTCTCGGTTGGGCTTTAAGCCCCTTTGAACAGGGCTTAGGGTTTAAAGTTTAAGCTTATGGCCCCTTCTTCACCCAAATAAGGAGCATGCTTTAAATATCCCAAAAGGCCAACCTAGGGTTCTGCTTAAATGCTTTGGGATGTGGGGATCTGGACAAGCGTTTGTCTGCTTTGGGGTGTATCTGTTCAACGTTTCATGTTCATGCTGCTTGTTGTAATATAGGTTGGCTCGTGTCTGCTTAGGGTTTTAGAGTTATTTTGTTACGAATGGTTTGCTGAGGATCGGTTTAGGGGTTTGGTTGGGGGTGCCTGTTGAAGGGTTTATCTGGGGCTTTTGAAGGATTAGCGCTTTTTGCTTAGGGCGATTGAGATGTTCGTGGCTTTAGGTTGCGTAGCGAGGTAGGGAACCCTAAACCCTAACCCCAAAAACAAAAAGCAAAACAAAAACTTTACATACTTTGGGGGTGTAGGTCAAAGCAACACAAACTGTACATACTTCGGGAGCCCCAAACCCTAAGCCCTAAACCCTAAACCCTAAAACCTAAACCCTAAACCCTAATGTTGATTGCACCCGACCTCGTCCAGGACCCTTTGTCGCCGACTTGTGCAGGACATGACCCGAAGGAGGGGCCGAAGCGTTGTGGCCAGAGAGCCACCATGTCATATCACGTCAGGAGGTGCATGATCGACATGTAAAGCAAAGATCATTCGCACTATCCAACAAAACGCATGTGCAGAGCACAAGCAGACAAACGCAGAGACATGTTGTTCGCCGCTTTGAATGTGAAAAGAGACCGAAATTCGACATCATGGCCGCCTCGCAATCTGCTGACACCCCATTCCAACCTGCTGCTCGTCAGCAGGTTATGAGCCCAAGCCTGCGGCTCCCCGGAGAAGATCGACAAGGACCTGAGTATGGTCGAATACACGAGCAGAGGTTGGATGGTGGTGCACCAATGGTCAATGGTTATGGTTCAGTGCCAGTGACATCTGCAGGGCATGGCGTGCTGGATTCATCAGTGCATGTGAGTTCAGGGGCTGTACCCATGGAGCAATCAGTGCATGCGGGTTTGTCAGTCCCTGTGAGTGGGGCTGTACCCGTGGAGCAATCAGCGCCTGTGGATGCATCAGCGCCTGCGAGTCACTCAGTGCCTGCGAATACATCAGCGCCTGCGAGTCACTCAGTGCCTGCGAATACATCAGTGCCTGAGAATGCATCAGTGCTTGTGAATTCTGGGCCTGGCGTAGCCCCTGGATATGGTGCAAGCATGGATGGTGGGACTGAGTCAGCCATTGCATATAGAGGTGGGCCTATGGTGGATATGGAGGGACAATGGCATCTTTATCCCTCACCACTGCAGTCTCCTGTGTCTGAGCAGGAGAATCGTCAGACAGTGGAAAGCACACGAGCTGGCCGAGCAGCTCATTGGTTTGCCCGACTTGGAGACTTCTTCCAGCAGCGGAGGGTGGAGGTTCACACTGCATGGAGTCCGGGAAGACAAATTGCAGAAAATCCGTGGCTGAGACCACGAACAGCGATGCAAAGCGGTGGATGGGTTGGAGAGACAGCTCGAAGCCCCGATCGACCCGTGACTCCACCTTCGAGTGGCTCTGGAGGTGTTCCTCAGGAGTTGGTGCAAGCGGAGGTATCTCGGCAATTGGAAGTCGCGATGGGCGACATGTATGGTGGTGTGATGGAACGCATTGCTGAGGAGAGAAAAAAGGCCGAGGAGGCAATGCTGGAGTCGCAGCGACTGCGGGATCAACTCCGAGAAGTGGAGGCGATGGTGGCGGAAAAAGAAGGAGAGGCTCAACGAGCAGTTTCACGAGGTCAATCTGCACCTGATCCGTCGTCGTTACAAAGAGTGACTGTCCAGAACCTCCTTGCTCCTCGCACTGAAATGGATGTTGGAACTAGTGGTCCAGGCATGGCAACCGGAGCGCCGGCGGGAGGTCCATATATAGATTTTGGACTGGCTCAGCCAGCAGTTCCACGAGGTCAATCTGCACCTGATCCGTCGTCGTTACCTGGTCCCAGCGTTAGAGCTGGGTGTATGGAGCAACCGAGGTCGGCATCGTTGGAACCCGAGCGTGGAGCTAAGGGGTTTTTGCAGAGCCTCTTTGGAATCGGTCACCAGCCTAGAGCAGAAAGGGCTGAATCCGGTCCACGACAGCATCCACCTTTACGTGCAGGAGGAGGTCAATCTTCGTCAACGCCAGGCAACGAGCAAGTCCTGACAGCGATGGCCAGGGGTATAGAGTCGCTCCTACAACAACAACAATCTCTAGGCGCTCGGGGTGAAAAGCCCGAAACCGTGAAGCCTGGAATACCAGCTCTACCTGACCTACCACCATACACACCAAGCACGGGAAGCATCGACTTGCTGAACTGGATCACGCACATCACACCCATCATGGAGGACCTGAGCGATAGTTCGAGCCAGTGGTGGATGACAACATTGCAAGATGTGACTGAATGGTACAGCCGCTTCTCGGTTTCTACGCCCTTGGAGAAGATCAAGTTGAAGCCGGCAGCAACCGCTGTGAGCAAGCCTGAATGGAGTCGAGTGGAAAGGCGCGCAACGGCGATGGTTCTGGGAGCCATTCCATCGAATGTTCGGGAGGAGGCCATTGCGATGGGCGATGTGCACACCGTGGGTTTGCTTTGCAAGTTGTTTGCCACCTACCAGCCAGGCAACAGGCAGGAGAAGAACCTGGTGCTGACAAACCTGGAGCATCCTGATGGATGCACAACTGCCTTGGAGGCAGTGGATGCCCTAAGGAAATGGGCTTTGTGGCGGCGTCGTGCTGCTGCCATAGGCATAGCGGAGCCGGATCCGTCGGTTCTCTTGCAGGGGTTGGACAAGATCACTGCTCAAGTGGTGAAGGGCGACACCGAGCTTTCTTTCCGGGTCAGCTTGATCCGAAGCAACTTGCAGGTGGATGTGTGCCCGACTACCACATCAATAACTTCGTTCTTCCAGCACCTGCAGGCCGAGATGGAACAGCAAGCGAGGATTGGGGCAGCCCAAAGGAACCCCGAGGCCACCAACCCTAAGCTTCGAGCCATGACGACTTCGGAGGCTACATCCTCGAATGCACCGTACAATCAGCCCACTCCCAAGAACACCTTGTGCAAGTTCTTCACTGGAGAAAAGGGGTGTCGGAGGGGAAACACATGCAAGTTCCCTCACACGTGGTCGGCCTTGGAGAAGTCCGAAAGATCAAGGAGGTGTTTGGCATGTGGAGCTATTGGTCACAAGGTGAAAGATTGCAAGGCTCCTGGAGGCGGTGCGTTCAAAGGTGGAAAGAAGGGGGAAGGAAAGGGGGACAATCGAGATGATTCATCCTCGGCTACCTCTTCGCCTACCAGAAGGGTGGACTTCAAGGAGGTTCCAGAAGTTGTGATGAAGATGATGAAAGTGCTTCGGGAGGTGGCGGATTCCCCGTACTTGAGGCCTTTGATGGCTGCGGTGATGGGAATGAAGGCTGGTGGCGGCAACGAGTCACCTCGGTCAAAGATGGCACTTATGGATTCGGGTGCCACCCATGCACTACGTCCTCCTCGTGATGACAATGAATGGCATCGCTCGGAAAATGTCAATGTCCTCCTGGCGGGCGACTCTGCTACGATGATGAAGCAGAACTCCAGCGGCACCCTTTTGTGCAAGGAAGAGGTGTCGCAGATGATTGTGCCATTGGGAAAGGTGATCGACACCTTGGGCTATCGTCTACACTGGACGCCGGAGAGGTGTGAGCTTCATGGTGAAGAAGGTGACGTCCTGCCTCTTCGAGTACGCAATGGATGCCCTGAATTGGAGGAGACCACAGCCCAAGCCCTGATTGATTTGCTGGAACAGAAAAATCTGCCTGGTCTTGAGCAGGCCACTTTGGAGTCAATGCGGGTGCTTCAGAGCGCTGAGGGCACCTGGTGGTCCTACTTGCTGGACTATGTTACCAGTGGGGAGGTTACTGTCGGAAGGGAAGCGGTGCTCCGTGCCTCGTTCCTGAAGCACAAGGACTTCCTGATGGAGGAGATGATCTTGCGACAGCCCAAAGAGGGGATCTGGGAGCTCATGAAGAAGCTGAAGCTCAATAGGAGGTCGAGGAAAAGACTTATGAGAGCGGCTACTTGGGTCATTCGCTGGGATCCACCGGGATACGAAAGGCGAGCTGATGGTTTGCTGCAGTTGGGGCGGTTGACTGACACCGTCTATGTGAACTTGGGTGCTTGGTTCCAACATAGCGACTTTCGAGAGGCATGGAAGGTGCTGCTATGGGGCGCTATGCAAGGTCGTGTTGGAGCGGTCTTGTCAAAGGACCTGGCAGCCACGCCTACGGAGTTCGAGGCCTATGAACGTCATCGCAGCCAAGTCCATTTGCTCCATGCCTTGTCGACAGCAGGGCACTACTTCAAGGGAAGCATGGTCCCAAAGTTCCTGGTGGAGAGGAGGAGATTTACCACAGCGGAGAAGCCCGGCATCACGTGGATTGATGATGGATGTGCAAAAACATATCTGGATGAAGTGGGCATCCTGGATCCTATGGTCCAAGAAGATCAGAGTGTGGAAATCGTCGCCGGGATCATGGGCATCGTTCGTGGTGATGGTACTGGGCGTCTGAGGCTTGCCAAGCTTTCGACAGATGCAGCCTGGCGGTTGCATGTTATGAGGAACCACCAGCCCTTTAGGAGGGATTGTGCTGTATGCGTGAGAAACGCAGCGACGGGCCGGAGGCACAAATCCACCTTACATCCTTCAGGATATGTCTTGAGCGCGGACGTTGCTGGGCCGTTGAAAGGGCATGGCAGATCACCAGATGGGAAGTTCTTCAAATACTTTGTGGTTGGGGCGTTCCGAATTCCGAAAGAAGATGGACCTGTGCATGAAGCAGTACGAGGTCACCCAATCCCTCCGGACCTTGAAGACGAGGAGGAGCTCTCGGAGGATGAAGTGGAGGAAGCGCCGGAAGAGGAGGAGTCGGAAATGCCTACACCGGAGCAGGTTCGAAAGGACCAGGAGGAGTGGAAGAAGCTCAAGGCAAGTTTCAAGGAACCCTTGGAGACCGAGACCCTCTACTTCTGCGTGCCTGTACGAAACAAAAAGGCAGCTTCGACATTGCCAGCGATTCAGCAAATGGTAGTAGACATAAAGGCGCTCGGATACCCGATTGTTCGTATACATGCCGATAGAGGAGGTGAACTTCGTGGAAACCTGGTTCGGCATTGGGTGCTTTCGCAAGGGATGTTGCCTACAACTTCCACTGGTTCGGAGCCGGCGGAGAATGGAGTGGCTGAAGCTGGAGTGAAGTACCTGAAGCGGAAGGCCAGGATCCTACTTGATGCAGCTCGCCTCGGAAGAGAACATTGGCCTACTGCCATACAGACCGCTGCGGTGCAGCAGCGATGTGAAAAGCTGGGGATTATGCAGCCGATGGTGGTGGCTTATGGGGCGAAAGTGTACGTGAAGATCAAGAAGTACAAGACTGGTGATGTGGAGGATTTGGGTCCTCATTGGCTACAAGGAAAATACTTGGGACCATCGACGGATGTTCGGGGAGGCCATGTGATCTTGAAGAGCACCGGAACCTTCATTCAGACGACGCATGTGCGAGTGGCCAGAGAGCCACCTTCCTTGGACGAGGTGGCCCCCACGATCAT